CCCTAGAGGTAGTCAAAGAGGGGGTGCTACATTGATAAATTCAAGGTAAAATATTTATGTTTTGTTTCTTTCCTGTTTTCAGTCTTTTTCCTCTTCTTAACTTTCCTAATAATTCTTCCTTATTATTCCGTTCGTAGAACGGGTACTTTTATTAGTTGTTATAGTGGGAGCTGAACAATGGCAAAGAGCTGGATTTCCAGAACAATGGTGTACTTTCAGATGTCTTTTTCTGAACATTTGTAGAGCTTTCCCACTGTTTACTGTATTTTTTCTTTATGTGCATATTTTTGGCTGTGGGTTTCATATCTTCTTTGCTCACTTTCAACCTAAGCAGCTTTCTTACCATTATACAGATGGCCTCATAAACTACATATGTTCTAAAAGAAAAAATGAATTTGCAATGTCTAGGATACATTTTAGAGCAGTATTTGTACATGGGTAAACCTTGAAAAATGGAATTATCATTAGCATTTTTCACCTTGATAGGTTAATAGGTTAATAGGTTTATCTCAACGGGACAATCAATGTCACCCATACTTTTCACAGAAGTTTGTATCAATTTGTCTTAACTTAATCATACTTCCCAACAATTTAGGCGAAATAAAAAAAACCTTTTCTTTATAAATTTCTACATAATACTATTAATCTCCGCAAGGCGGAAAATGGGATTGTTCACAGAACTTCCCGCTTTTCACACACATTTTGCATACGCATATGGCAGGCATAAGTCATGGCTCAACAATGACACTTTTTATAGGCAAAACTTGTTACAAGAAATTGATTTTAAAGTGAACACTTTTTTTGCACTGAAGGTTATAGAGACAAAAAGTTGTACCACAAATTTTTTACCTCACTATAATTATCAACATTGTCTAAGATCCATAGAAAGTCTTGAAAACACCGCCACGCCAGCAGTTTGTGGGTTAAGGAACCGTAAACTAACAGAAACTTGAACCCCCAAAGAAACAACCCCTCCCCCCCCCCCTAATTCTTTTGAAGCCACTCACTTGTTCGGGCCTCTGCTATGAACAGCCTTAAGCATGCCAACAGCAGCTGTGGTCATGCGGTCTGGCCCATGGTCAACGTGATCGGCATGGCAACGGGTGCGGTCTTCAAAGAGCATCTCCCGAGGTTCAGAAGACCGAGGAAGGTACTGCAGGTTCCGGAGCTCATTTGCTCCTCTGAAAACATCATAACTTTATATCATAATGTGACAGATATGAATAATCAGAGGGGGTTTCCCTTCCCCACCTGGTCTTGGTGGCTGAGCAAGATGCATGGACAGAGAGTCAGGGGCACTGTCAAAGTTAGTTCCACTTCACCAATTCATTGGTACATTAATGACATTTTACTGTCAACTTCAGTATCTGTCTTCTCAAGTCCTCCTCTCACCAAAAAACTTCTCATGTGAACTCGAAAAACAAATTGCATAATTTCAACTACCAGTTCAACAACCTGGTAGAAAGCCAATAGTGAAATATGTCCAATCTACCACGGAGAAAATGGGTCGACAAAGAAGAAAAAAAAGCTTTACTACACGCTGTCTAAAAATCCAACTCAGCCAAAAACGAACCAGTTCAGACAGTTCCATCTCATTATAAATGACGGAAAACATACATGATACACAACTACAGATGAACATCACAGTATCCAAACCATCTCCAAAAATGAAAACACTAAAGTAAACTCAATACAAGTTCATACAAAATTACAAATACAAGAATAGGCAAACCTACTCCAATCACCACCTGTCCAAGACAATCACCTGTCCAAATGCCAACTTCTCACTTCTCACCCTTGTGGGTCTTTTTTTATTTTATCATGACACTATCCTTGATGACAACTTTTCTCCTCAACATTGGTTAGTTGTCTTGGACAGGTTTTACTGTTTAATGCTTTCACTGCTTAACCATCAAACTCTAAATCTAGAATCCTTCTCTGAAGACTCCAGTTCTGGAATCAAGTTATCAAGTAATCAACTCTCCATAAAATCTGTATAAAACAAAATCATGTTATGTTATCTAATCCATACTAAGTTATTTGAACTAATCTTAATGCATTATGGGAAAGGTCAGGGAGGGGGCTCTCGTGGCCTAGAGGTTAAGGTGTTGGCCTCTCATTCAAAGGTCCCGGGTTCGAAGCCGGGTAGCGACCGAAAAATTTTCTTCTTTAAAATTGTCTCCTTTCACCTCCTTTCCTGCTCTCTAGCAATGTTCTGTTGTCTGCTTTCATTTCCACTTTCTGTCCCCACCCCCTCACCTCCTTTGCCCCCTCCTCTGGGCTCGTGACTCTTTCTGCAGCCTTTCTACTGCTACTCCTTGGCTCCTCCTTACTGCTGTCTTTCTGCCACACCCCTGATCTTCTGGTAGGAAAGATCTACACCTAGCCTTCTCGGACAAGGGCGAAAAATCTCGGAGGGCCCGTGTGCAAGTTGCGCACGTTAAAGATCCCTTGGTGGTCTAAAATCAATAAAAGTAGGCTTCGGACGCCACCCGGGCAAAATTCAAAATTTCCTACCAACTCAAAATATTAGGTGTGTCCCGCGCACTCATATGACCTATGCAGTTTCGAGCGCTGTAAAACACTTTACAAAAACAACAAAGGTCAGGGAGACATTTTTTCTGCTCGAACAGCAATTGAGCCCTCTAGTTTTGATTGACTTTCCTGGGTAGATCGGGTAAATCTATTTCATGTTGCCATAACAAAACTGCCCGGTATATAAGGGGAGTTTACTGCAGGAGCGCTCAGCACTGAATTGAGTAAAGGAGATACAGCGCTCTTAGTTAGTAGTATAGGGTTTTACAGCGCTCGCAACTGCGTAAGGTCATATGAGCGCGCGAAACACAAGTTGGTCTTTTTCACAACAGTTTGCTGTACGGCTGGCTCGGGTCAGTAGTTTAATCTTAAAATGTTTAAAAATCAGTGTAAATATACATATATTTTCAATCTAAAACAATTTTTCTAGTTAACATAAAAATTTTAAATAGTAGTTTTACTTTACAATTTGCCATAAAGGCCAATGGCCTTTGTAAAATTAAAAATTTTGCTGGGACCAACGACGGAAAAAATATCTTGCATTTATAATATTTCCTTCGGATCTCTCCAAAGTCTAGACATTTGGTTAAGATGTGTCTAATGGTAAAATCTGTGTCGCATCCGACACAGAACGGCTTCTCATCTCCCTGTAGGAGGTATTTGTGGGTCAGGGCCGTGTGTCCGATGCGCAATCGAGTAAAAATGACTTCGTCTCTTCTGGAGAGGTCCGAAGGATTTCGCTGTTCTAGTTTGGGTTTTATTTCATATAGTTTATTATTTTTCTGCTTTTCCCAGTGGCTCTCCCACAGACTGGAGGTGTACTTTTTGACTTTATTTCTAAAGTCAGTCTGTGGGAGAGTGTTAGTCGTTGATCCCAACAGAAGGGATGAAGCTTTCTTCGCCAGGTCGTCTACCTGCTCGTTTCCTCGGATGCCCACATGGCTGGGTATCCATGCGAACATGGTGTTTTTTCCTGTTTCGGATAGTGTATGAATTTTCTGTTGTAGCCTAACTATTTTTGGATGTAAGAGAGTGTAGTTTGTGAGTGAGGTGATGCAAGACAGAGAGTCAGAAAGGATTAGGAAAGATTTGTTAGGAGAATTTTCAACAGAGTCCAGTGCCATGTCAATGGCAGTGGCCTCCGCAGTGAAAATGGAGGCTTCAGGATGGAGTCTCCTCTGGTGTGCATTGTTGGGAGATAGGGCTGCGGCACCCACTTCATTGTCTTTTTTGGAGCCATCCGTGAAGACGAGCTCCGCACCGGGGTATTTATCTATTAGTTTTTTGTATTCTGCTTTAAAAGTTTTGGTGTTTGTACTTTCTTTGTTGTGTGTGGTCAGCTGTAAGTCTACTTTTGCCTTGGTGAGGTGCCACGGAGGGAGGTTGGGGAAAAGAAATTGTAGGATGTCTTGTTTGGAAAAGTGTAAGTTTTTGAGGTCCTCAAGGATTCTGAGGCCGAAGGGTTTGATGAGTTTTTTGTTGTTTTGGAATTTGTTTCTGGTTTCTGGGTTTGCTTGAAAAATGCTGTTGTGCGCTGGATTTTCCGGTGTTGAGCTCTGTTTAACTGCGTATTGTAGTGAGAGTGGTGTGCGTCTGAGTGAGAGTGGTGGTATGTTGGCCTCGGCCTGGAGGCTCTCCACTGGAGAAGTGCGGAAAGCTCCCACAGCGAGGCGGAGTCCTTGGTTCTGTATTGGGTCTAGCATTTTTAAGATGTGTGGTTTTGCCGATCCGTAGACTTGACAGCCGTAGTCAAGCCTGGACCGGACAAGGGAGATGTACAAGTGGAAAAGGTGTTTTGAGTCCCCGCCCTACTCCGGATGCGATAGAATTTTCAAAGCGTTTAGCGCTTTCTGGCACCTCACACGAAGGTCTTTGATGTGTGGTATGAATGTGAGTTTTTTGTCGAAAATGACGCCGAGGAAACGAGCTTGGTCCTGTATAGTGTCAAATCCGGCTGCAGCACACGTCTGCCCGTTCGGCAGAAGTGTACTGCAACCGTCTTTGATGGGGATAGAACGCTCTGTGATTCTAAAAATTAAACATTCTTTGAGGGACAAAAACAACCCTCCCTCCTTTTTTCTCTCATACGACCTACTTTAGGGATAGACAGGTGATTCTGTTATAAAATGAGTTGGAAAGACAGTTACTGCCACATTCCAGAAAACATTTATTGCCTGAACCATTGTTTACAAAATAGCCAACCATCTTAGAGTTCATGTTTTAGGCATATAATGTTCGCAATCATGATAAAGATTTTTTTAGACAGCAAAAGGATGAGTATGAGAGACTAAGAGAGGAACAGGCGGGTTTCAACCGGGGAGATCATGTACAGTGTTTGTTCTGAGAAATATCATAGAACAAAGCAAAGGAATGAATGTCCCAATTATCTTGAACTTTGTGAACTTTGAAAAAGCCTTTGACAGCATAGAGGCCCTGTGGAAAACTCCTGCAATTTATGGCATCCCCCCCCCCAAAAAAAAGAAACTGTATGAGATCATGATATACCAATCCAAGCTGCTGTGTTCTAGTTGAAAGAGAGCTATCTACACCTTTTGAAGTAAACACTGGTGTTACACAAGGCTGTATATTATCACCTGTACTTTGTGGAATTGTGATCGATTTTGTAATGAGATAGAGTCAATACATTGAAACAGGCATTGGATGGACAAATGGCACATATTTAGGAGATCTAGATTTTGCGGATGACATCTGAGTATTAAACACCACAGTATATTAAATGCAATCTAAAACAGACGAACTAGCAAAAGTTGCGGAAAAAGTTGGCCTTATAATAAATGTATCCAAAACAGAAGTACTACGACTATCATCAGAAACTACACACATCACTCTTTGGAAAACTCCTTGCAGAAATTGGTAAATTCACGTACCTTGGCAGCATTATATCCAAAACTACAGACTACCTTGACGACGTCCACCAAAGACTTAAAAATGCATGGATTGCTTTTGTGAAATTAAAAACTATATATGGAAGTCAAATATAATTTAATTGAAAACAAATTAAAAATATATAATACCGTGGAATCCTGTTATAACGAGAGGGAGGGGACCGGAACAAAATGTCCGCTATAGCAGGATTCTCACTATAAGGGATCCAGTAATAAATTCAAGGGAAACTGTAAAGTAGGCCTAATCTATGAATTTGGTGTTCTGTTTATTTCCTTTTGCTATCTCCCCTGACGATGATTTTGTTTCGACATGACCTCTAGGTCTTACTTGATCAAAAATCGAATCAGGTTTCTTTCTCTTGCGCTAGATCTAGCGATGTTGACTAACAGCTCGGCATTGGCGATCAGAAAGAAAGGACTCTCGGCCTAGGCTAACTCGCCCGCTGTGTTGTCCCCCACCCCACCACTCCCTGTGGTGCATTCCGTCTGCTTGTGCACGTCACACATGTATTCACTCCATCATCACAGCACTGTGACCTCTCCATCCCCGCATCGGAGAAGTGAGAGGCATGGTAGGCCTTGATAATCTCAACTAGGCTTACGTTGGCATATCACGCGATGCGTTCTGCTTGTGTGCGCATGCCACACCCTCCCTACTCAGTCGCTCCGGCCTTCATTGTTGACACTCATGGGCTCTCCCATTCTTTGTTTCGCTAGATCACCAACTAGTTTCTCAACTGGAGAGGTTTTACATTATGTATAATTGGCCCATGCACTGCGCCCAGCAGCAGCAATATTCCGCTATAACCGACTCGTGTGCTTGTCTGATTGCACTATAGCAGTATTTTATTTACAAAGGTAAAGAAGAGAAAAAAACGGCGTTTTAGAATAGTGTCTTTATAACAGACTTCTCGTTTTTTCCGGACTCGTTTTAAGTGGACTCCACTGTAGCAGTATTTCGACTGTATTGACGTATGGTTCAGAGATATAGAAAACAAACAAAACAATTCAATGAAAATTAAAAGGCTTCCAAACAAAATGTTCATGAAGAATTTTACTAATAAAATGGAATGAATTTATGACAAATAATGAAGTGTTGGAAAGAGCTGGAATTGAAGATATCAACACAATGACAACCATACAAAGGAGAAGATGGAGATATTTGGGACATGTTCTGAGAATGCCGAAGACAAGATTGCCCTAACCAGACATGGTATTCGAAACCATCTGGAAAGAGAAAGCGGGGAAGACCAACTGGACACTATAGAGGCACAATGTTGTTGTTGTTATCGATCCAGCAACAGCTGGGCTCTCGCCCTTCTGTCCAATGCCATGTAGTGATAAGTGCAGGTCTGCTGCAGTTGCTGTAATGTTCCATAGAGTGTGTTGTCTATGTTAGGTCTCGGAGGGAGAAGGGTAATAGAGGCACAATAAGAGAAGAGGCAATCATCCAGCGTCTGGATGTGTCAAAATTGGAGGACGTGGCCAGGGACAGACAAGCGTGGCGTCCACTGATCTCCACCGTATGTACCTGACGGTAAGTAAAAGGATGAGCAATAATACTGTACCATACATAGCATTCCAAAATCATAATGATTCAGAGGTTAACATTTCTCGACTCACCGTTTTCTCTTAGTGGGCGACTTGGGCATTTCTGCAGGCGGGATCATCTGCTCCCCGGGCCTTGTCCAAAGGATAGGTCCATCATCGCTTTCTTTCCGAGACTCCATTTTCTCTTTCGACATGCGTCCCCAAGGGGTCACAGCACGGATGAAAGGGTCAGACTCCAATTCATCAAGAAAATCAGGAAAGTAGTCACCGACCTCCTCATTGACAGTACCCACAATGCTGATCTGATCGAGTCCCCCACCACGGAATACACCACCAGAGAAAGTGTTGTCCACCTGAGATAAAAGGTGTCAGTGTATCAGATTTAAATGCAGGTCAATGGGGTCACAACAACAACAACAAAATTTTAAAAAATCATGTTTGCATTCTCAAACTTGTAGTTTTGAGAGCCAGCTTTCCTTGAGATGTTAAAAAAAAAGGCCGTTAAAAAACAACAATCATTCTATTGTTTGCAAAATAAAACACACATTCTGACTGTTCTTGAGCATGGTTGTAAGGTAAAAAGTGTAAAACTTTTTTCAGTTGGGATTGTGTAATCTGTTAAAAGTTATTATGCTAGTGTATAAAACGTGCCCAGTATTATAACTTTTATCCACTTCAAAGAGGGTCCACCTTGAAATAATGATATTAATAATTATAACAACAGTGATATCTATACAGTGCGGGAGATAACACAGCAATGACTTTACGAATTGAGAAAAAAATTATAACAAAATCGTCCATAGAAATTTTAATATATTTCTCTCTCTCTCTCTCTCTCCAACAAGCAAAAATAAATGTACCTTGCATGCAATCATGAACACATTTTGTTGGCAGTAAAGACTTCATAGATTGAATTTCTTAATAATTTGCTATGAAACAGAAAACGCTGCATTGCAGGGATCAGCAGCCAAAACTAATTTTTAAAAATACTAAAGTCGAAAACATGATAGAAACGGAACTGGATTGATGTCAAGTTTGTTGATCCCCCCCAATAAAAAAATCCAAACAAACAGGCGGTTGAGTTCACAAGCCCTAAAGCCTAAAAGACTCAAAACCTATTAGGAGGAGGATGAGGGCGAGGAAAAAAAGAGAGAGATCCATGTTTCTTTTGCTTCATTATAGTTGAGGTGAAAGACCTATTAGAAAAAAGGACCACCAATTCTGAAGTAGAAGCAGTCACGAAGAAAACAAAACAAGGAAAAGCTACAAGGCCAGAAAATATTCCAGTCAAAGTGAAAGTCACATTTGAAGAATGCGGTACTGAATTTAAAAATAGAAGTCTTAAATTCTACTGGTACCGTTCTGGTTCATGGTCTACCATGTTTTCTGGTTTAATACTTGACAGTATTGCAGGACCGATCTGAAAACCGGTTTAGTTGACAATCTACTGTGATGTTTCTGGTCTACTTGGGGCTCTTAAGCCAGACCAGTCGACTACTGTTCTATGACTGTTTACCAGTTTAAACAGGATTGGGACTTGTGACAAAGATCGGTTTACATTTTTCTTTGGATGCGTAAAAGGCTTGAAAAGAGTAACAGTCCCTTCTGGTCACTTGCTGTCATGACTTAAACTTAAAAGTTATAATAATCTTTACCACCACAAAACTCTTTATAAAAACGACAATGCGAAATGGAGCAATCCACCCACCCTCACACCACACTTATAAACTACTAGCTGGGCCCCCTTTCGATGGCTGGGCCCCCTTTCGATGAAAGGAATGATCGGTGCATTATCATCAACTGAAAGTCATTGGCCTACAACATTTACACTCTACTGGAATGGAGCAATAAATCTTGAGAGAAAAGTGACACATGGTTTCCAAGTTGCCAAATATATAATAAATGCATAGATTGATTCTCTATTCCGTTTTCGAGGTTTCAAAGGTGTGGAAACAGTGCGCACAGATAGTGAACGGAAACATCACTTGTTTACAATGGCGTCTCAGAAGACGGACATTCCCAAGATTCTGTGTGGACGAAACAAAACATTTTGGAAAAATCAAGGAAAGCAGTTTGCGTGGATTTTTTAAAGTTAGGTCCGAGCCACATGTATGCCTGCAAAGTTTCAAAGGTGTGGGTTGGGTAATAAGGGAGGAGTTTGTGCACAAAGTCTCCCAAGTCCACTTTTATATTATAGATAAACCCATCATCTTTGTTGATCTAAAAAGCCTTTAGTAAAAAAACCGTTGCCGCAGGCGGGACTTATGGTAGACCATCAACTAACCTGGCACCATTCTATCATCTATGACAGTGGTGAGATTCCAGAACATCAAATGATAAAGCCAAATTTGTATATACTTTGTTTAAATACCAGGTGCCACAGAGTGAGTTGCTAGAACAATTAGGCTTATATAGTGTGCCCTTTGCAACTATATATCTAAAACACAATTTGGCTTTGTCCCTGACAAAGTTACCCAGAATGCTATATTCAACAATGCTAATGGTAAGATTTATTGAAGCACAGACAGACCAATAATACTTCATCGATTATGCTTTCAAAAGCTAGTTAGTCACGAATATCTTTTAGAAATTCAGAGAGAACAAGACAGATGGAAAAGATTTAAGAATTGTTAGAGGAATGTTTACAGGAACCAAAATACTGCTCTTTAATTTGAGGGAGAATACAGTCAAAATAGGAGATCAAGCCTGGGTCAAATCCCAAGGCCTCTGATAGACATAGATGGTGAAACAATTCTTACAAATATTAGAAAAGAAAACCATTGCCTCAAAATGAATGGAGAAGATATGAATAACATCAGATATGTCGATGACAGTTTTAAGTGCAGATTCAAAAAAGCCTTTCAATTACTTCTAGATAATGTGTTGCGACAGAAAGATAAAAGAATCCAATTTTAAGTCTCTACCATCTGTTATAAATTGGTCAAAACAATAATGCTCCAACATATCTGCATGAGCTTTTAACACTGTATGTTCCATTCCATCAATTATGGTCATCCACAGACGCAACCAAATTCAGAGCCACTAGAATGAAATTAAGATTTTTTGGTGAGAGAAGTCACATTTTTAAAATCTTAAAATCGGAACTCCTTGCCCCAGGACCTGAGAGAAATAACAAATCCTAATATGATTAAGCCAGTGTTCAAGGCTCATTTGTTTAATTCTTAGTTATTATAGTGTGTTGGTGCGTGCATGTTTTAACTGCTGTCCTTTTGTGGATCTATAACTAATGTATGGTTGAGAAAGTTCTTCTTTTATGCGATTGAACTGGTTTTCTGGTTACTGTGAATTATGCTCAGCCATCATGTGAATGATGTAAAGCGCTCAGAGCTTACTTGTGGAGATAGAGTGCTATATATATATGCTACAATTATTATTGAAGAAAAAACAAGGGGTTATTTTTATACAGAAAGAAAACAATGCATGGTAATATGTTATTTTAAAAAGCTCAGGTAATATTGGTAATTATAATAATATGAGTCACGACGCGGTGGAATCAGGCACTCATCAGTTTTTGGACGTGTGGAGTTACTGGTATCACCTCATAGCCTTTTCATTTGTCAACGATTTCAATGAAAAAAATATCCATTTATCTTGAATACAAGTTGATATTAACGATCTAAGGAGGTGGGGGTTAGCAAGAAAATGGCCGCCAGTGTTTAGTTATTTCCTTAGCTTGAGTGTCCGTGGAAACAGAAAATGTACACTTTTATGATTTTAATTGATGTTTTTCAGTACAATCCACACAGAAATGTGTTCTTAAATGGACATAGAAGGTAGAAGGTGTTGAGCCAAAAAACAAAAATTCAATAAAAATTGCCAAACCTGTGGAAACAAGTCAGTTTCTTCACTTTCACTTTCATTATAATTTTGACGAGCGCCTGATTTCACCACGCTGCCTCACAATACAGAAACCACATTGGAAATTGAATAAAGAGTTTGGAGTTTTAAGAAACCACGATCTATAGACGTTTGTTAAAAATCATTTGTTCCATAAGTTAGTAGAGAAGCAGTTTGTAAGTGCTATGAGACAGTAGTTTGATGGGTTAGAGTGATCTTTTCCTTGTATTAAGATAGGTTTATCTTTTGTCCAGATCCTGGCACATTGGTTTTGGTGTTTCACCACGCACACACACACACACACACACACACACACGCACGCACATGTGCACACCCATATACACACACACTCTTACCTCCCACATACTCTCTTCCACACACATCTTCTGTGCACTGTGCACATATAACCATAATAATTTACAATAGTGTGCTTGCACTCACAAACAGATCTTTCCTACCAGAAGATCAGAGGTGTGGCTGAAAGACAGCAGTAAGAAGGAGCCAAGGAGTAGCAGTAGAAAGGCTGCAGAAAGAGTCAGGAGCCCTGTGGAGGGGGCAAAGAGGGTGAGGGGGTGGGGGAAGAAAGTGGAGACGAAAGCAGACGACAGAATATTGCAAAAGAGATGGAAAGAAGGTGAAAGGAGACAATTTTAAAGAAGAAAATTTTTCGGTCGCTACCCGGATTCGAACCTGGGACCTTTGAATGAGAGGCGACACCTTAACCTCTAGGCCACGAAAGCCTCCCATGCTGGGGATTGGGATGAGAGCATGGGTGAAAGTGACAAGAGACGGTTTAGCCAGAAAATTCTGTTGGTACAGAACGGATAGCCTGAAAAGTTCATGGTAAATTCACGTGGCCTGAAGGATGGGGTACGTTTCTCAATTTTCCAGGGGCATGTTACATAACAATGACAGGACATGCTCTATTCAAATACACACACACACACACAAACAAGTACGTAGCCAACATTTTACAATATGTATCCAGTCAACAAAATTCCAATGTGAAACTGGAGTCTTGTGTGACTTACGTATTTCAGTCTGTTCTTACTTGTTAGATATTTTCTTATAAGTCTTATTTATATTTTCCCCTCATCATTCTATATGTGATAATATAATATATAAACTATATTATTATACAAATGAATCCTGCTTTGAGCCTGTGAAATCGAACCAGTCTTGGCATCATGATTCATATCATAAACGTGAAAGACAAAAATTATTGCTCAAACTCAAAGTAGAGTAAAAACTTGAATGGCTCTAAAAGTAGACCTGTTCAGTGCGATAGTTGTAAGAACTGAGAGAGGTCAAGTTGCAGTGACACTGAAAATCTGCCAGTCTTGAACAGAAAGCTAAAAAAAATGTAGTTACTTTATAATTTACTATCACACATCCAATGAAACGCAAACACTTTAGTTCATCCATAACAAGGCTTACAAGACATATATGACGGATCCCGATTCCACACACGCCGGCACAAAAGCGCGCTTTGTAGAGAGCTCAAATAAAATATTTAAAAATAAAATGTGCTTCCAAGTTTGTTGTCCTATGGTGTTGCCTTCCGCACCCTCCCCATCCAGAGTATCTTTTAAAAAATCAATAATATACCCCCCCCCCCCCTTCCAAGTCCTATGCTTCCAAACGCTCAGACTTTGAATAAACTTTGGCGACCGTAACTACCGTCGATGCTCAGTCACAGGATTCCGTATCATGCGACGAAAACACGCGCAGGTTCAACGACCGGTCACCATGAGGAGCCCAACAAGCTGACAATCGGATGATGCTTTTCTTTCTTTTTTCACAAGCGACAGCACAGATACAAAATTTGATTTATTTTCATGGCGACACAGCGTTTATAGCAGACGAACTGCATGTCACAAATGTTGCGTTACCAGTCTATCACCGGCCAGGTTCTGGTAACGAAAGCGAAAGTAATCTTCATATTCCCGATCGAGCCACGCTGTCACACGCTTCCGCATGCCGCCATAGCCGCCTGTTCGGGTAACACGTACTGTCGGACCGGGAAAAGCCAAACGAATCACAATCGCGACCGGCAAAAATTAACTTACTGACCATATCGGAATTTGTTTTCAAATATTCCAGAACTTTTTATATTTTCCCGAGTCTTCCCGACCTTTTCCTATCAAATTCCTGTCACGTCGCCGGCTATGGAAGACTTGCCGGGCCGGTGTAGCCGGAGGGTGGCCTACGGATGAGTTCAAGTAGCCGGAAATTCCGGCAGGAGCCGGAAAACTTTCACCCCTGGATGAGAGGGAGTTATTTAATGAATCCATAGGTATAAATGCTTCTTAGTCCTTACAGGGAATCAAGACTTACTCTGCTCACTTCTCTAGCTTCAACAGCATAAAGTCTACTTCGACTTTCAAGGCACCCAGTAAATAGGTGGGTCACAAGAGTGACAAACATACAAAAGAAGTAGAGGAAAATGACGATAGTAAGGATTAGGAAAGAAAAAGCAGCAGTTCCCTGTTGCAGTTCAGACACAGTATGAGCATAACATTGATGAATCAGCCCATTTACAATAAATTACAATTCTACTGTGCATAAGAACAGGTTAATGCCCCCCCTTTGGGAATGTCCTAAAGACACTTCAGTCAGTAGTACTGCCCTGGGGGGGGGGGGGGGTGGAATGCTTGAACTAAGAAATTTTTAAGGAAAGTGAACAAGGACAGAAACCACAAGGCATTTATTTAGTCAACTATAATAATTTATAAACTATGTAGAGGTGTTAAATAAACTCACAGATTCTCTGAACTTCTCAATGGTCGTTGTTTCAATATCTGACTTGTTCCCTTTGTTGCCAGTCTTAACTGTTAGACCTGGATGGTGCTCCACAAGGTAGTCAAGAAAGTCTGGCATGGGCTTAGCAGCGCCGTGCACGATGCCCATGACGCAGCGACTCTCTCCCTCCATCACCTCCCCAAACACTAGTTGGAAATACTGCTCCACAAACTCCTCCATGCTCTCTCCATCCAGCTGTTGTAACTGCTCATGGAATGCGTGGACGATGAGCGCTCCACCATTAGAATACTTCTCAACATGAATATATTGACGGAAGCGAGGCTGGATTACTTCATCCAAAATATCCGAGTTCATGTTCAGTCGAATGAGATAATCAACACTGGACGGCTGAAGTATATCAGAACATACCTGTACCCCTCTGTTCTCTTTTGGTCGAGATGCTGATGGTTTAGAAGAAGCTGAAGAATGTTTATCCCTATGAGAACTACTGGAAACATGAACTTTAGTTGATGACAATGAAGATAATGACGCTTTTGAGGATGAATAATCTTTTGATACATGGGCACTTGACTTCTCTTTTAGGTGAGAAGAGGCAGATTTTGCTGGGTGTGGGCCAGAAGACGCTGATGATGAAACTAAAGATGACTGCTTATGTTTTGAAGGTGTCAAAGATGAAGAGCCATGATGTACATGTTCTTTGCTAGATGATGAAACCTTTTTATCACTAGAGACCTGTGAAGATAAAGGATGTTTCTTCGGTGACATGGTGGTACTTGAATTATGTTTACCAGACGGCATACAATGTTTCATACCAACAGATGGTGGAATTGAATCACTAACGAGACTATCCAGTTTTTCTTTCATAGAGTGATTGCTCAAAGAATTAGAAACAATGACAGCGAGGGCTTGCTGTTCTGAAGCCATTGACCGCTTATCACAGTTGTCAGCAGCAAACTCTTGGAGACATCCGGCCGTAACCTCCATCACGGGACAGTCAGTATCTACCACCTCAGCTTTAACAGTTTTTTCTTTTCTATTACTACAATGGTTGTCAGGCTGCACTACAGGAGAGGATGACTCACACTCAGGAAACATCTCACTGTTCACAGCACCTCCCTCATTTAGATGTCTCGCCTCCTGTGGAGAACTGCTTTCCCCTTTACAATAAGGGATCTCCTCCACTTTTATAGGACAATTGCCACTGTCTGAATTACCAGAAAATGTCGGACTGTCATTAGGCTTCACACCTTCCCTAATGCTGACACCTTCATCTATTGTAACAGTTTGTCCTTTGCTATCAATGTCTTTTCCACTGAGAGATTCTTTGAAAGAGTCTCCTTGTTGAGGATGAAACAACTCTTTACAGTTGGGACTTCTTCCCTGGCCAGTATCAAGAACTTCTTGTCCAACAGGATTCTCGGCTACAATGAGTTTCTCCCCACTGTTATTCCCAACATCAGCAGCACGGGACTCTGTTTCAGTAGGAGCGCTGTTCACAACTGAGTCGAATAGCCTTGCTGGTGGGGAAACAATGGACTTTGCTGCAGCTTTCAGAGGGTCACGAATAAGAATCTTCAGTGGAGAAATATTCAAGAGTTCCCTTTGCCCATCGATGGACAGGTCAAGCTTTTTGCTATGATGCTTCTTGTGATGGTAATCGCCGTGACGATGATGATGATGGTGATGCTTATGTGGAGCGCCTACAGCAGGTGAAGGGGATGTGTGGTCGAGATCACTGCAATTGCTGCCATGGTTAGATTTGTGTTTGGGTGGACTGTGATGATGAGAGTGTTGCTGATCTTTGCTGGAAACGTTTTCTTCCTTCTCAGAGAGCCCTGTCTTGACAAAAGCTGGACATGGAGAAAAAAAAACAAAGTCAGTGAGAAAACAACAAATTTCTAAGACAGCTAGAAAAATAAATATGGGCCTTTACTTATTCACAAGAGAATAGCTCCCCAAAGAGCACGAGAAGAGAAAACATACGTTCACATTTTTGTTTTTAAAGTAACAGTTTAAGGCACTTGCAATAATATGGTCATATAAGTGCCGAAGATTAGAGCTGCTGTTACAAGAGAGTACTAACAAACACAGTATAGGAATAGGACGAGAATAAGGACAATGGATTTGATTGGAAAGAAGGAGCAAACCACACCAGAGCACCCGCAAATCACCCATATTCTTGGTTTTTAATTTTTTTTCGGTCATCTTGTTTTGTTGCTACATGTCCACACACATAAAAATGAATTTCTGTATCTTGTACTGAAAACTGAGACAGCACACACAAACATAAACAAGAAGCAAGAACCCATGGAAAAACAAGATAAAGAGTGTCTCATAGTATATAAAGTAGCCTGCCTTTATTAAGGGGAAACCCTGGTCAGCGATCCCAGAGAACATAAAATTTGTCAAAATATTGAACTTTTTTTTTTTTTTTTGAAAAACATTTTTCAACATCTGTTCTATTGGGTCACAATGAATAAACTGTTGAAAAAACATCACAAATGACCGAAAAGGGTGTTTGAAACGTGCATATTGAAATAAAAATCCTTTTTTTCCCCCCTCAAAATATAGCTGTTTCAATAAAAGTGAGCTTCTTGGTGCAAGGAGTTTTCAAAAAACTACTGAAGCTAGAAGCTTTACATTTGGCATGCAAGTGCTTTCAGATCTATTCTGCAGATGCATCATTGTAATATATTTATCAGTAGCCAGGGGAAAAAAACATTAACCGTGTTGCGTTTTTATCTTTACTGACGTTCAATGCTCCCCGAACCCTTCCAAGTCACTTGCACACACACATTCATAAAAAAATACTGATAAGGCCGTAATTCCCGCATCGGTAGATTTATGGCTCAAGTTATCTCTTTTCTGAAGCCAGTCTTTCATCCATTATATCATATTTGTCTCTTTTTGCCGCCACGAGCAGCACATAAATAAATTGCAAGCAAATTATCATTACTCGCACACATGATGTGTACGATGCTCCGACCAGTTGAATGGCAGTTTTGCATGGCAGTTTCAACGTGGGTTCCCACTCCGTTTTTTTTTTTTTGGAAGTGTTTTACGGCGCTCGCAACTGCATAAGGTCATATGAGCACGCGCAGGCCCGTCGAGAGGGGGGGGG